CAGTCCCATAAACAACCAGTGACGGAGATACAGGCAATTGCTTTAATTAATTTAATATTAAATGTAGTACCTCTACATCCTTTTACCTTGTAAATACAATTCGTGTTTCTAAGATTTAAATTTTAAATGAATATAGTTCTTGATATGGGATAATATGTTACATAGCAAATTATCTTCTGTAGTCGAGGAAGTATTGAAAGTAATAATTTTGAAACTGCATTTCGAAGAGAGAACATTTTTGAAAAAATATTAAAATGAAAACCATATATTTATTTTTGATAAATGTACTGCCACATCAACGACTTTAAATTGAATAAAGCCATAGCTAATAAAACTGTCCGAATTTATTTTATTCGTTATTCTCAACTAAATATGTAATCATGATTTTTATCAACTCTCCTCTCGACATATTTTAAACTCTTTTCAGTATCTACAGTATCTGATTTAATAAACGTTTCCAAGATGGAAACATGGATATTGATTCTATTGTTGGCATTCTGTTACGCGTAAGAATTTCCAAAAAATGAATATCCATTCTCGACTCTGTTAGATATACTTATTCATATATACCTGTAAGGAAAATATTTTCATATAAACTAGTAGGTATTATTTTATTTCACAATTTGCTTATATACCTATTAGCTAAACAGTAGATACAATATAACGAAAGTTGTCTAAGACAAGTGTAATCATAACAAAATGAAACAGGAAATGATACTGAATTATGTTGGTTATAAAGATAATCAATTTTTATAAAAGGGGTAACTAATGAAATTATCTCAATCGTAATTTATGTCCAATTAAATAACTTTGTTTTAACTTAATAATAACGGAAAATAATTTAACTTTATTTTACTTTTTAGTTTTATCTGAAGGCTGTAATATTTTTTATATCTCTGAAAGGTTGTTTATTCGAATCAATAATTACATTTTTGATAATATTTGAACTAAAACTGATAGTTTGACTTAAAATATTTTGGTTGTACTCATACTAGTAGAGGAAAATTTCACTTAATCGGTAATTGATACATTATTGAGTGAAAAATAAGTCCATATTTGCAATTTTAATTGCAACTTGTTTGAATGTAAATAGAATATAGTATAACTTTTAAGATACTTTTAGACAAATTTTATGCAGTTACTAATATTTTATTAACCACTGTGCAATAATTACCCTGATTTTGTTACTACAAATAAATATATATTATTAGGATTTATAAAATTTTCTAGATTTTTTTATTTGTGTAAAAATTCTATCTGATTTTATTTCCCTGGTTAATTATTCCTGGGTATATTAAATGTAGAGAATGGATAAATCTTTTAATCACTATTATCATACTGACTTCAATATTGTGTATACACACATAAAGCATATTAATTTAATTCGTGGCTAAAACTAAGTAGCTATATCTAATTCATCAAGATATATAGGTACTTAATATATTTTATTACACCACAATAAAATTTTAATTGTTTGTGTAAAAGGACTTGTTATGCAATTAACGGAAGGATTATTTGTTGACATTAATTTAACGGACTAAATTAATTGCCTGTTCGTTTCCTTTATGCTTAGTAATAAAAGAAAATTAAAACTAAGATATGAGGTTATGTTTGGAAGAAACAAATAATTACAGTAAGTATGATATAGATGAATATTGTATCTATATTATATTAATGAATTACATGGTAAATCCTATAAAAACAGAAAATCTTCGGAAGATATGATAATATGTAAATTTATCTCATTTACGTGCGTTCATGATGAAAAGAACAAATTCGTATTTAACATAAGAAAATTGTATACAGGGTATCTCAAGAAGAGCATATGCAATCAACATTGATTTTTTTAAATAGAACAGCCTGTATATTGTGCCATTTTTGAATTGTACGGTAAATTCTGAACACTTTTTGTATAACATGCCATATTTCTCAAATCAGCGGGGTTCGTAATAATGACGTTTGGAAATTGATATTTTGAAATACACACAAGTAATTAAATAAAATGTTTAAATTGGACAACCTTGAACAATTTTTTAAAAGCCAACAAAAACAACCTGGTATGCCAAATGTTATCTTAAACAAAACAGTTTTCTTCGTATTAATCGTTTTTTACTGGGTTTTACTTCGTATTGATCGTTTTTACTGGGCGTATTAATCGTTTTTACTGGGCAACTGAAAATCCTCGTTGGATACAAGTCTGTCACACACAGCATCGTCAAAAATAAATGTTTGGGAAGGTATTGTCGAAAATCGAATTCGCGGACCTTATTTTTTTTTGAGGTAAATTTAAATGTAAAACGCTACTTAGAATTTTTTCAGTTTGAACTCATCCCCGGTTTAGCTGTTGTGTTTCCTAATCCATAAGATCCAGATATTCCTCATAATGACATATGGTTCCAACACGATGGGGCACCTCCTCATTTTGAAATTGCTGCTCGACAATTTCTTGACTTATCTTTCCTTAATAAATGCATTGGACGCAGAGGCCCTATTGAGTGGCCACCAATGTCATCGGATTTAACACCTTTAGATTTCTCCAGATGAGGTTGAAATTTTGATTGAAATTTGAAATTTGAAATATTTGATATCTAAATTTATGTGAATAGACCAAAAAATCTTCAACGGGAAACAATCCTTCGCCTACAAAAATGTATTGAAATAAACGGACAAAACATTGAACATTTATTATAAAATAAATAATGATTTATGATTAAACCTTAATTTTATTCGATTTATCACATTTCAAATGTCATTATTACCCACTGATTTCAGAGATATGAAATATTATACAAAAAGTGTACAAAAATTACCGTACCATTAAAAAATGGCATGATATAGATGTAGAGGGTGTTCTATTAAAAAAAATCAATGATGACTGCATATGTTCTTCTTGAGACACCCTATATACAATTTTCTTATGTCAAAAAATCCACAACTAAAAACATTAATCGACGTGTCCGAGCGTTTTTCCACAAAATAATTACCTGAATTTTAAACGAATATGTTCCTTTCATCATGAACGCACTGTAGATATTTGTTTTTATATATTACTCTTATTTAGACAGGTATATGCTTTACATTCGAAAGGGTAATGGGATTTAGCTTTTAACGGGCCCATAAATCTTTGTCAGTCAAATTACCTAATTTGCTTTCGATTTTAGATTAACAAATTTTGTTTTAACGTTGTTAAAGCTATAGAAATTGGATACATTCTATTTATATAAAATTTAAATTTACTTGGTCGTTCATTTCGCGAAAAATAAAGAATTTTTCCACAAAAAAAACTTGTTAAAAAATACAAGAGTTTAAGAGTTTTATGGATTTTTGTCTTATTTTTAAATATAGTATGAAATTTATTGACATAACAAAAACATACTTACGAGGTCTGTTCAGAAAATAACCGAACTTTATTATTAATAGACCTTAGTGACGTCACATAGGTCCGCCAACTAATAGACAACTCCATAGTGCACATTGTCAGGAAGAATTTCCCAATATTTTTACTAGATCGATTTTCGACCTTATATACCTTGGATAAATAAGTGCCAAAAAATGTCTTCTTTGTCATGACCTTAAATATCGCGATATTCTGGTAATATTAGAAATATTTCAAGTCCCAAGTGAGCATGAGCATTAGGGATAACACGGCTAATGTTAAATTTTTACTTTGTTTAAATTTAGGAATATTCTTTTATATCGTTTTTTTAGCACATTAGTGAATCTTTTTTACCAAATACGTGTTTTTTGTTCTTAAATACTTCTCAATCCTTGTACAAATAAATTCATTTGAGGTTGTTCATTTTTATAGTATCTATGTAAATAGTACACAAGGGTCAGATTCGATCTGTACAATTTCAACTATGACAATTTGTTGCGGGTTGCCTAAATATGTGGCGTCACACTAAAAAAGTCTATTAAAGTCTGTGACGAATTTGCTTTGATGTCATCAATAGTCTGAAAACAGCATTAAGCACTGATTTTAATAAAGCTGGGTGTGCGTGCTCATTGACATTGGGCAATAACCATGAGTTGTTTTCATCACAACTCTGGTCTCTTTCTGCGAATTTTTTCATGCAATGCTTGTAGAACGCCGTGATAATACACACAGTTCACTATTTCACATTGAGACAATAATTCAAAGTGCATAATTTCATTAAAGTCGAAGAAACTACTAATCATCACATTGGGTTGAGACTAACGTGCGTTCTTGGGGCGTGGAGATCCTTTGCCGATTGATCGAACTATTGTCTCAATCTCGTACCTTTAAATCCAGCTTTTGTCTCTCGATTTGATCCTTTGAATGAACGTTTGATCGTCATTGGACTGTTCATCGAGTTGCCGAGAAACATCCTCACGATTTTCTTTCTGCTGCTCGGTCATTAAACGAGGAACAAATTTTATTGCAACTCGATGCATGTTCAATTTTTTAATTAAAATTTCATGGCATGACCCAATTGAGATGCTAACCTCTTCGGTAATTTGCACGCACGCACAAGATCTCTAAATACCCCCATTAGTGCGTAATTCAAAGAGTTCGGTTATTTTCTGAACAGACCTCGTATATCAGTTACGTGGTGAGGAATGTGTGGCAAATTATGTTCCACTTAAAATTCAGATTTGACTATCAACCAATAGTGTTACAGCGTGTGCTTGCACCTTTCATTGATTTTGACTACTTTAGAAAATAATATAAAAGTGGACTGGAACTGAAGAAAAATATTTGAATCTATTACATTTAATAATTTAATAAATCTACCTTATAATTTTTAATTCTACAAGTGCTTATCCCTTCTTTTTATTAGAATTACAAAATCGACTAGCGACAACTGTTTTCATATACTTATTTGGCAATGAAACTAAATTCATGACAATTTTTCTTGTTCCTTGATTTTCCACGAGGCTATTCTGAATAACCTTGAAGCCGATAACAAACATTTTCGAGTCGTGAGAAAAATACCTGATTCATTATATAATACATTCTATTATTTTCTTTGTTCTAGTTGGAATATGGAGAAGAGATTTGGCAAAAGGTACTACAACAGTCAGAATGTAAATACACGGTATTTAATACACATCAAGTCTACCCGGATCACATAATGGCTTCTCTGGCCTCAGCACTGGCCAAAATCACAAATAAGTCATATGATAGCTTCATGACGTTCTTCGGAAAATGTTTTGTCCGATTTTTCAGCAATTATGGGTAAGAGATAAGAGATAAGTTTGTAATGCCACACACAGTGTGTTATGTTGTATGTTTACTCGACGTACGATATATAGTTTCCCTTTGATGACAGTTTAAATTAAATACATTTGTTTCCGCTATATTCACGCGTGGAATATATATTCGCGGTTAAATATTATTCGTTTGCGGTTTAATTATCTCCTATATGAATAATTGTCAACGGCAATACATGTGCAATGAAAAAGTTGGTTGATTTGAAGTGTACAAAGTAGTTATGTTTGCAGGAGTAGATATTTTTCTATCTTCTTTATCATAATCTTAAAGATCATTAAATTAGAAGTTACTAAGAAGAAAATTTTTAAGTCTTATCTAGAGTTCGGTGAGGTCTAGGTACTATTTTGCTTAATAAAACAATTCGAAATATTTTAATGAAAGCAGTGCAATTTCAATGTTTCCAAGTGTCCCAAAAGTAAGGATTTGAATTGTGCGCCATTTTCATTTCGAAGAGTTGGTAGCATTGTATAGAGTCACATATCAGTAACATGTGAGCCAGTAAAAGCGTAAAGTTCACAACACACTGTCAGTTTTTGGGTGTACAGTGGTTGTTCTTGAATAACCCGAGAATTGCTTTTGCCACAAATCGACAGTTTCTATCTTATGTTAAAATCCGCTGCATTCTGAATTTTAAAATGTTCAGTTGCAGTGACTGACAGCGCACTAAGGTTACGGGAATTTCCGCCACACGATCACTCACCGTAGCCATATTTTCGACTAAACGACCAGTACGAAGCCGACTTGTTTTTTTTATTGTCTGCAACCGAACTTGTTTAATCAAATTTGGAAACTAATCTTTTCATAGTCCACCGAATATTCCGTGTAATTTGCGCACAATCTCAGCTACACACTCTCCGCACTTGTAATGAATTTTCACAATCTTCACTCGCTCATCCGGCGTATAACGCTATCTATGTCACATCCAATTTCAACGGATTTTTCTCGATAAAACAGAAAAAACAATAAGGATATTAATTAACTTTTCAAAAACTTCTTATAGTAACGTAATTAAAAATAAAACAAAATTACCACAATAGTTTTCATTTAGAATATGCGTATTTTAAAAATTACTATACCTATTATAGTGGTATTTTTGTAAAAAATTCACAATTGTAATTAGGTATCTATGAAAAGTATTTTCGTATAATATCGTAAAAAATGTATAACCTTTATTTCAGAAAAATTGAATAATATTGCCCTATTAAATTCAACAATTTATATAGGTATACCTTTGTGTTTGTAGTAGAAAGTAAGTATATACATATTTTGAAAATATTTTGTTTATCACAATGAGTTTTTATTTAAAATTCTTTATAGAAATTTTACAAAAAATATTAACAGATCTGGCCCTGTCATGGGTAGTGAGAACTTTTTGGTACACTGATTTTTACACCGTTATTGAATTGTATGTAGACTTGTTAAGTGTTGTTATTGGTATCCATCCGGGCTGCGAATAATTGTACAAAACAAATTGCAATTAATGGATTTGCTTAAAAAATTAGGAAGATATGAATATGGTGTCAAAATTTCTTATTTATTTACACTTGTTAGCTGCAAAATGTTAGTGCAAAGATGTAAGAAGATGTAATAATCTTTAGCGGTACCTACTTTTAAATTTCGTTTGTTCACTACACCTGAATACTGTTTGTGTTTTTATTTCATGTAATTATACTGTTTAAAAAATTTTCAACAGTATTGTGCTAGTAAAAGATACAATATCTAGAAATTTTGACAAAAAATCTAAGAAATGTTGTGATTTTATTAGTATACCTACTTAACACAATTATTATGTGTATCCTATAGCTGAATACAGACAGCATACATTCAACAAAATTATAAATATAAATCTTAAATATAGTATGTTGATAACACAAATTGCAGTTGGTTAGACTCAAAAACGGACATATTCACGGCACACTTTGTAACAAGTAAATAAATAAATTAAGCAAATCTCGAACCTATTCATGAAAATGTTTTATTTCTGATTAAACAAAGCGAGATAGGAAAAAAATTAAATATCAAAAAAAGTTGTGTTTTTTGATAGATAAATCTGAGAAAAATTTCAAACTTACCAAAAAGCAGAGGCGCGCCATACTTTTTTATATTTTTATCAAGCTGGTATCTTGTTGTGACGCCACTGGAGAAAATAGGACAAATTAAATTATGTGAGAAAATGAGTATTATTATTACAAACAAAGTTGCCAAGTTTCAATAAAGTCTAAAAAGGGGTTTTCGTTTTACGAATAAAAAATGAATTTTCATTTTAAACTTGAACACTCTGTAAATCGAAAACGACGCATCTATACATATATGTTTACATGAACTTTTTTTTAAAGGACTTTTAGTACAAGTTGTGAAAGTCCTGCTACAAAAAACGCGGACACCCTGTATAGCAGAAATTTTTTGTGTATTTGTTTCAAGACCATCCATTAATAAGAAACCTTTCCGGCTATACAACCCTCTCAAAAAATGTGTCGTTGCTTGGCATCACCTACAGCCGCCATTTTGAATCCAAATCGTTTGAAAAAATTCACAATACTACCTGACTATTATATAGATTTTTCCTTGAAAATTACCGAAAATCACCTTTTTTCCAACCTCTAGAGTGGCGTTACCCCTTAAAAGAAAAGTTGCAAAAATGTCTGTGTTTAACTTTCGTGCATATCAATAACGTACAAAATCTGTATTACTAATTTTAATTTCTGTTAGCTTTTAGTTATATCGACATTATGCCCGCAGGTTATTTTAACACTTATATTTTAATATTCACTATTAAAATGAGTATTTGAATTTCATTAAGTCGGAGAGAATAACAGCTACTGTTAAGCTTATTTCATTGCTCAAAATAAAATTTTAAGACAAAGTTTTTGACCTAATTATAGTTAGAAGTTAGCTTTTCCACTTTCATTTAATTTTCGCTTTGACTCACTTCTATTCTTAATAAAACCTGTCTAAAAGATGAGGGTTAGTTTTGTTCTATCTGATGCATACCTAATCTTTTAGAGTAGGTAAATGTGAAGCTCCTGCGGTTTTATAAGTACAAATAGGAATTAAACTAATTAATAGCAACGTTATCCTATACACTCTAGTGTAAAATTAAAATAAATGTAATCCATATCCCACGTAGATATTAGTTAATACGTTTTTTTAATAATTGGGTATGAATATTAGCTCAGTGGTTCTCTATTATTCAGGTAAATTAAAATCTCAAATACATGGTTCAAATAAATATTTAGAAATTGATGTCGAATGTAAATGTGTCACTATCCTATATACTCCAGTCGAATTAGATCATAAAACCTGAAAACTTGAAAAAGTTATTAGTAAGCTTTTTGTTGCACTTTAAGATGGGAAAGGGTATGTATGTATATATCAAAAAAGTAACTCGAAAGAAGTGACACTAAGTTGACAAATTGCAATGAAGTGATAAATTTTTATGTCATTTTATGTTGTAGGCAATTAAATTACCTATAATTTAATTAAGGTATCTAAAGTCATATTGTCATATTTCACCAATTTGTTAACTTTAAAATAAAAAGTAAAAAATAAGACGGTCAAATCAAAGACCAAGTTGTATGCCAAAGGCTGATTCGATTGACCGTGAAATTGTTGGTCCAGGTTTTTGTTAATTAATTTCCTTCGTTTTTTTGCAACTATTTAATTAATAAATGTTAATTTTAGAAGTTAATATCGTAGATATAGGTTCTAATTGTTCCAATGAAACGTATTGAAAAAAATTTCAAAAACTTGAAATTAAGTAGACCTTTACAGCTAACAAAGTAGGACGCGCAAAACAGCGTTATAAACAAATTGTCCCAAGATCAGGCAAAAGCCGCTCGGGAATTCGCTCTTTTTGCATTAATATTTTTACGATAATTTTAAAAAAAAGAGAAATCACCTACGCCTCTTTGTTCCCAAGATAGTTTTTTTTATAACGTATAATTGTCAATTAACTATTGGACGAATCGGACCGTGATGTTAGAGACAATTAAAGAAAGGGTAAATTTTAATTTTGAGAAAGTTTTACATTGATAGTTTATGTAATAAACGCGCTAGTAGCAGTGAAAGTGGACGTTAATGAACGGCCGACACGCGGGAGAAGGAGCGCCTGGCCGGCGCATGCGCATGAACGTCGCTCTCGGTCGCGCGCGAGATTTTAGACTTGAACGTTTCAAATTCGGTCATAAAGTCTTCCAGTCTCTAATTCGACTGGAGTAATAACAATAAAATAACCTTCCCTTTCATCAAAAGAGTAAACAATGATATGGTTCGTATGTCATTTCAGTGATTGATTTTTTATTTTTTTTTTCGATAGAAACCAGATGAATGATAACAGACTTTGATACAAAAATATTTGAAATACTTTTAATAAAATATGATTGTGCAAAAGTGGATGTACCTTCTCCATTAAATAAAGCGTGAGATAAAATCTATATATCTTATACTTTACTGCTTTCAGCTACGATGCAACAATAAAAGCTACTGGAAGATATTTTACCGATTTTCTCGAAAGTGTTGACAATATCCATTCCCAGTTTAGATTGTCCTATCCAAAAATGAAAAGTCCTTCTATGTATCTCACAGAAGTTGATGAAAAAGGCTGTGTTTTAGTTTATAGGAGTATAAGGCGGGGCTTTACACATTACGTGATGGGTGAGTAATTGCATAAGAAAAATTTATGCACACGTGACAAAAATGGTGAACATTTATCGCAACTTGTCAAGATAGAAAAAGGTGTCTTACAATAATTATTAGTAACAAATGTAGGTACTTAATGACAGATTTTAATCTTTTATATGTTCAAACTCTTTCCTTATTTTGTCGAGTTGCAAAATTCTCTATAAATTTTATATAAAAAATTTAAATTATTTTAACATTTTAGGACAGCTAGACGAAATATCAAAAGACATTTATAATCTGGATTTGGAGACTACAGTTCTTAGCACTGAACACAAGACTATAACTGGAAGAAATATTACTATTGTGACATTCCGTTTAAATTTTGATAATTCTCAATATGTAAGTAAGTAACGTGTATGTATGTGCGTCTAACCTACTTTAAATCCAGTACGATTACATATTATATATTACGTCGCATATTTGTTTGTTTTTATAATATAAAAATAAAGCCTGTCAGTAAATATTATTAATGTCATATGAATGGGTCCACAAAATAAATTTCGATAATATTTATATTGAATGGAATTTTCAAAGCGAAGTCGTCAAATTGTCAATTGATGATAAAATGTTTTAATATTGTCACCAGTATTTGAATAAATTTGTGCGCTAATGTCATCTGTTTACGATTCTTGATGATTCTAGAGATGTCATTTTCTTATTTAGGCTTTTCGATAAAGAGAATGACACATTTGGCTTGATGTCCCCACCTAAAGATGTCCGACCATTTTCTGTACTAAAAAAGATCTTAAAAATAATGGATGAATATTCACATATTTAAAAAGTGTAGTGAAATGAATAATTTTAGTTAGACATTTATGAACAGGTAATGTTCTTTGCAGCTAAATGCACGTGCTGGATCAAATCAAAACATATTTGTTCCGTGTTTCATTTCAAACTGGATTTATTTTATTTACTTTTAAGTCAAGTCTATTGTTATTTGATATATGTGAGACATTGACAAAGGTATACAACTCAAACATTTTACGTTCACATTTGGATTTTTTTAGGTTGTCATAAAGTTATATGTACGTATGTGGGAAAATAAAATTCCCTTTCTATTGTAGTTACTTCTTCTCTGAGTTAATCATATTTATAGCAATATGTTTTCCTGATGTGATGCTAAAAATACTTTTTTTATCGGGAAGCCATATTCAGATAAATTCTTTGAACAATAAGAAAAGTGTGTACAAATATACAGGGTGTTACAATTTAGTAGGTCAAGCCGTTAACCACATATTCTTTGGACTAAAATAATGGGACTTTTCGCATGCAATTTTTCATTTTGAAGTCCCATTTTCAAAATCAAAATTTTAAAAATTATTTTTAATGATAGCTCAGGCGGTTTTAGAGATATTTGTTTGAAATTTGGCACATATTTTTATCTTAAATAGGCACAATTTCTTTATAATTTTGGTGTAAAATATCAGAGCCCGAACGGAGGAAATTGGGGTTGTAGTAACTTTTTTTTAGTACGCTATGGTTTCAGAATATTTTTTAAGTAGAGCGTTTCTTTGTTCTATTTTTTTCACTCTTATAAGATTTTGATTTGGGGGCTCTGATTACGAGATATTGCAACTTTTTTGGACAGATGACATCGGTTTAGACGACGTTTTTAAATTGTCCAGTTTCTTTTATAAGGACTAAGTTTTAACAAAAAATATTCTTGGATGGTTCCGAATGGAATATGTTCCTGTCTAATATCTAATAGCCAAATTAACATTAGAATCTAAGCTTTTTAAATATTTTCCTATTATTTATTTTCCCTTAATATTTGATAGGTCAAATGTCAAATGACCAGCCCGTTCCTCCGACCTCAACCCGTTGGACTTTAGTTTCTGGTGTTTTAGGAAAAATTTCGTTTACATGGCTCCATTACTAACTAAACAACAACTAAGGAAATTAATTGTACAAGATGGAGAGTACTTTAGGATGAAACCAAATATTTTTCAGAATATACGTTACTCTCTCATTAAAAGAGCCATAGTATGTATTCGTGAAAGTGGTGCACATATTGAACATTTAGTTCAATTTAATTGAACTTGTCTTTTTTACTATTAGTTGTTAGTTGTGCCGTTTTTGTTTATTTCAGTTGACTTAATAAAATGGAAATGACCATTTAATACTTAACGATATTTAATTTGTGCCAAATCTAACACATGCAAAAATAGTTGCAATATCGCGTAAACCGAGCCCTAAATCAAAATCTTATAAGAGTGAAAAAAAATAGAACAAAAACGCGATGTAAAAAAACATTTTAAAGCCATAGGCGTACTAAAAAAAATTGGGGGGATCCCTGGGTACTACAACCCAGGGATCTTTCCTCCGTTCGTGCTTTGATATTTTAGACGAGAACTACATAGAAAGTGTGCCTACTTAAGATAAAAATATGTGAAAAATTTCAAACAAATGTCTCCAAAATCACCGTATTATGAAAATGGGACTCCAAAATTAAAAGTGGCATAAGAAAAGTCCCATTATTTTAGTCCAAAGAATATGGTGTTAACCGCTTGACCTACTAATTTATAACACCCTGTATAATAAATATATTACAAATTGGATGTAATTCTGTATAGAAAGACCTAAAAAGTTCTGAAATATCGACTTTGATAATAAGGAAGTTTTTAAGTTTTCCAAACGTGAATGTTTCTGTATGCATTTAAAATTTATTATGCTCTCAACTATTTTAAAACATTTATTAAAACCTGTATAAACAAAGTTATTAAAGTTATTATAGCCAGTTCTCTTATTAAATAGGCAGTTCCCTTATTAATTAATATTTTATAGAAATAATCTATGAACTAAATCTAGGTAAATAGTTGATTTAATTTTCTGATACCACCTACAATAAACTAACAACAACATTGATCTTGTCATTTACTGATGGCCTTACCCTATAGAATTATTTTTATGTTTAGATAGAGACCCATAAATTTTGCATAATAAAGGAAATTGACTCGTTTAAATCAAATTAAAGATAAAGGTTATAAGCCATATCCTTTTAATTATTTAATTTATGGGAGTCATTCAAGAAACATGAAACCGCACAAAATTAAACAGTAGTAGTGTATAGCTTGTACATGAGACATAAAAATGTATTGATTATAATAACTTACTTGCAAAAAATAGGGTAGTATTAGTTGTTCAGATGTTTTAAAAATAGTTCAAACTTTACCTTTTACATAGAGATGTTTCTTGATAAGAAAGTTTCATGAAATAATACGCAGTTATTCAAATTTTGACTGAGGATATAAAAGGAAGAGATATTTGTCTATATATTGTTGTATTGTATTGTTTCACTAACCGTTTCATCGTTTTAGTCTTATAAGTTATAAACAAAGTTTTTGCTGGCATCTTCAATCGCGTTTTGAAATCATTATCCATCAAACTTATTTGTATGAGTAAAGTAAAATCGTGGCGAAACTTAAGCTCAACTGTGGATACCATTATGTAACATATTGGATCTTGGAAATAGCTAAAGCTGGCAGAGGAAATTGTAAGACAATATTTCAAAGGCTTGTCACTCGTTTACCGAACAAGTTCGGTAGTATGTAATTAATGTGACAACATCAAAGATTAATTGACAATTTGAGTACAATTTCAGGGATATGAAAACTTTGAAAGGTAGGAAATTATAGACTGAACCAATTCTATAAGATAGCATATTATGGTTCTGTTGGTAAGGTGTTATAGTTTGTTAAAGATTAATGTCATAAAGAGTTAATTATAATTTTGTTGATATACAAAGTCGAAGTTAATGAGTATTACACTGAAAAAATTTTTCACATTTCTTTAATAATTGGATACTTGTATCTCATTATATGAAAATGGTATTTTAATGTCTACAAAAGTCGTTAAATATCACTTTTTACAGTTTCCGCCAGTTCTGTGACCACTTGTTTTTGAAGCTATCATAAAAAATGCATTAGCGCCCCAGCCTCCAAATTTTAAATAAAAAGTTGAATATAATCTGGACTCGACAACATTGCCTCTTTAAAATTTTCCTCATATCTAACTTCTGTGTAGATGACAGAGAAATTTTAAACATCTAACTAAAAGTTTGTTTGCGCGACAGATGGTTACAAAACGTATTTTTAGCAGTACGAACTTTTGTTTTAGAAAAAAATTCTTTGACGTACAGCGTTATTGAAAGAAAACAAAAACTCTAAACTGTTTCTACATAACTTTGAAGCTCACATATTTTTATATAAAAAATAGGCTAGACTTGGAGGGAATCTAAAAATTGTATAACGCACATGTTGAAAATATCACTCCTTTACTTTCATGAGGTCCACTAAATTTAAGCACGTGTCGTATGAGATTCGAAAAACCGCTTTGATACGGATATAGGCGGATTTAAATCCGACTCATTTTAGAAATCTTGCTTGAGAGGTAAATTCGTCCAAAAACCGTAGTGGACCAGATCAGTTATTGACTATAATATTGCTGTATTAATAGTGAATTAAGTGTCTACATTTTTCTACTTATTGGTAGTATACAGGGTGTTCTAGTTAAGAGGGAGGCCATGTAAAGAAAATATTGTTAGCTTTACGGGGTGTTCCATTTCGCGTGGGCACTACACAACTTTGTTGTTTTAAATGGAACATCCTGTATATTATTGTGTTTTTTAATTCCTTGGTTAATGTTAGGTAGAGTTTATTAAATGTACATGGTGTTTAAAACTTACCGTTTTCGAGATAATCAGTTGTTTCTGAAAAAAATCACGATATCAGCTCTCTAAATGAGGCTAGGTAGTGTCTAAACCGTAAGAGTTAGAAACCTGTAGTTTTCACAATTCGTTTTGGCATAAATTACTCTATCTTGTCATCTGCGAGCAAAACGTGTACGTTATTCAGACTCGGAAATACTGAGACCTACATTTAATAATCTTACCAGTTGAAAAACTTTTTTTTTAAATGGAATGACCCATATTAATTGCCATGGATTGAATGCCCTTTTGATTGATTGTCCATACTTATCTTTAACAGTTTTCCAGAAAAATCAGGTTCTTTTTTAAAGTCCGAAAAAGTAGCTATGTCACAGCCTCAAGAAGGCTTTACAGTTGTATTAGTACAACGTCGATACATAGGATTTTACAAAAGCACAGCACAACATATCCTTATCGCATCCAATCACACCAAGAGTTACTAAAAGTAGACTTTCAGCGGAGACTGGACTTTTGTGAGTGGGCACTTGAGATGTTAAATCAAAATGATGTTTTTTTTAAACGGGTCATGTTCTCCGATGAAGCTACTTTTCATAAAAATGGTTTCGTTAATGTTCATAATTGCCATTATTATGACACAGTAAATCCTCACCAATTCTGAACAAGTCATAGCCAGCGATGGTCTTTGAACGTGTGGGGAGCAATTTTGGAAACCCATGTTACTGGACTATTCTTTTTTTTACCAGCATCTAACTGGATCAGTTTATTTAAACTTTTTATCAACCACTGTAGAAGATTTGTTAGACGACATTGCTTTAGCTACACTTCGAAGAATGTGGATGCAACATGATGGTGCCCCATCTCACAATACCGCTGCGGTTTGTCAGTTTTTACACGAAACTTTTCCCAACAGATAGATTGGGCGTGGGGGACCAGTAAGTTGGCCTTCAAGGTGTCCAGATATGACAAGTTGCGACTTCCTTTTATGGGGATTTATAAAAAGCAAAGTTTACGTTACACCACCAACTACCGCGGAAGATATGTGGCAGTGTATTACTGTAGCATTTCAAGAAATTACGCCAGACATGCTCACCAATGTTGAACAGTCTTTTAAAAACCGAATTTGTTTGCGTATTAATCAAAATGGAGGACACTACGAGTAATTGATGTAAATCAGCGGTATAAATATTCTTCTCCTTGTTGCATTCTGAGATTCAGTTTGTTTCGTTTTGCGTTTTGTTTTAGTTGTTGTTAGTGGTTTATTTTTGTTTGTCAAACCACTTTTTAAACATGCCAGTAAATATTGACACTGTCAGTCCCAGGCCTGATAAAATGTGAGAGAAAAATGATTTTGCAAGGCCTTCTTGACGCTGTTACATAGCTACTTTTTCGGAATTTAGAAAATCACCTGATTTTCTAGAAAACTGTTAAAGGCAAGTATGGACAACCTTATATCGGTCGGAAGGGCATTCAATTTTGCATTGACCCGTGACAATTAATATGGGTTATTCCATTTGAAGACAAAAAAGGTTTTCAAATCGTAAGATTATAAATCATTCGTTTTATTTTAAAGGGCGAGTTGGAGTTGGAATATTCAGCTCTTACAATAATTTCTCGCAGCGTTATTCCCTAATACTTCATTTTTATTCGTAGTCACTCATAAAATAGAAATATTAATGGTAGAAACCTCAAAAAAATCTTGCAGTGGACATGATTACATGTTTCATTCTATATTTTGTGCATTAAGATTCGTTTTAGATGAACAAAAAGTAGATCAGTTTCTAGTTTTATTCATCGTTCATCCTAGAAGATCAATTTCTATGATTCAGTTATAATTCATTCGTAGTTATACAGGGTGTAACTAAATAAGTGTAAAACATTTAAGGGGGTGATTCCTCATCGAAAAAAAGATAGGATCTTTCATATAAAGAAACTTCATTGGAGCATCCCTTGTTAAGATACAGCCCCTTAAAGGGGGTACATAAAATTTGTTTAACAATTTTTTTCACAAGCACTAAACAAGTTACAATATTGAAATTAACCTGACATTTTCTACTACCAAAAAGACACTTAGCCAGTAATTTATTTGGTTTACCCCATGGTAGTAAGGGGTGGAAAACGCAACCCCTAAAATTTATTTCCAACGTAATTTTTTGTCTTATTATTTTTTTACCATTTAAAAAATTATTTCCGATAGCCTGTTTCATTCTAAAAAAAAATGTCTCTTGAATTTTTTGCCCAAATTAAACCAGTTCGCAGTAAAAAATTATTTTACGAACAACTACAGAGATACATCGTCATAAATGCGGACTGGATTTACTGTTATTTTGTAGTTACTACCTGCATTAAATGATTAAAGGGGAATAATCAAAACTAATTTAATAATAACAAAACATACAACATGTAGAAATCATAGTAAATGTTCAATATGTCTACCTTCAGACATTACGCATGCGTCTAGACGTCGGCGCATTGAGCCACGTATTCGCTCAAATATTCCTGGAGTCTCTCTAATTACCCTGCACGCATCGATAATGCGGTTTCTTAAGTCCTCTACATCGCGAACAGGAGTACGATAAACCAAATGCTGCAAATGGCCCCAAGTAGACAAATCCAGAGGATTGAGATCCGGGGATCGAGCGGGCCAATTCTGTGGTCCTCCTCGACCTATCCACTGATTTGCATATGTTTCAGTTAAATGCTGACGTGCTACTTGACTAAAATGGGCGGGAGCCCCATCATGCATAAAAACCATATCCCTTCTGACGCCCAAAGGAACTTCCTCCAGCAGTACGGGGGGATGCACTTTTCTTAAAAATTGAACGTATGCCTCACCATTTAATCGAGGAGGTAGAAAATGAGGCCCAATTAAATAATCCCCAATAACTCCGACCCACACCTTAAGAGAAAACTGTTCTTGATGGTTAGTTTCGACAATAGCGTGATGGTTTTCATCAGCCCATATGTGGTAATTATGAAAATTAATAATCTTGTCCCGAGAAAAACTACATTCGTCTGTGAATTCGATCGTCTTCAGAAAGTCACGATTTCTTCTAATCATTTCCAGCATCCAATTGCAAAATTCAAGACGGTTCGGAAAGTCTCGCGGTAACAGTGCCTGTACTCGTTGCAGATGGTAAGGGTATAAGAGATGTTCCTTTAAAATTCGAAATACCGTCATATGATCAACATTTAGCTGGAAAGCAATCTTTCTAGTACTGGTAGTAGGTTGTTCTTCTATCAAATTAAGTACTGCTGCCTCAAGCTGTGGTGTTCTTACTTCTCGATGGCGACCACAATCCTGCGTTCTTTTGTTGAATGAACCATATTCACGTAATCGTTGATGAAGTCAGACAAATATTCTATGTGAAGGATGCTGCCGTTGAGGATACATTTCAGCATATCTTGTAGAAGCTTCTAACCCATTCCCCTGCGACAGACCGTAAACGTAATGCATATCAGCCATTTCCTCATTTGTGTATGCCATTTTAATAACAAGTGAATTATTAAAGTAACAAATTAAGAACAGAACAATACACAATTAGTATTACTTCAATTTCAAAAATTTACAAACTGACAGCTTGATTCCAATTTAATTGTCAGTATCGCTAATGGCGGCCTACTAGATAAATTAGTTTCGTATTTTCGTTTTATGGCGATATGTATCTTGTTCGTAAAATAATTTTTTGCTGCGAACTGGTTTAATTTGGGCAAAAAATTCAAGAGACATTTTTTTTTAGAATGAAACAGGCTATCGGAAATAAATTTTTAAATGGTAAAAAAATAATAAGACAAAAAATTACGTTGGAAATAAATTTTAGGGGTTGCGTTTTCCACCCCTTACAACCATGGGGTAAACCAAATAAATTACTGGCTAAGTGTCTTTTTGGTAGTAGAAAATGTCAGGTTAATTTCAATATTGTAACTTGTTTAGTGCTTGTGAAAAAAATTGTTAAACAAATTTTATGTACCCCCTTTAAGGGGCTGTATCTTAACAAGGGATGCTCCAATGAAGTTTCTTTATATGAAAGATCCTATCTTTTTTTCGATGAGGAATCACCCCCTTAAATGTTTTACACTTATTTAGTTACACCCTGTATAGTTATAACCCAAAGTAAACGGTATAAAAGTGCATTTAATAATGCTCATATGAAAAACATGCGATATAAAATTGGAATAAAAAAAACAAGTTCTTTGAATAGATTTTTGAAATTTAAATTCCTTCTGAAACATTTCTTGCTCTCTTTTATCAACGTTGAGTACAACCAAATAAAGGTATTCATATTTCATGTTGCAGATTCTGTCTAAAAAGGCCGAAAACGCTGTCCACTTAGAAACAACCCGCCATTTACCTCCCTTCTCCTGCGATTTACTTTTACAGCTATTCCCATTTGCGATCGTATTCAATCCGGCTTTGATCATTATCGGATGTGGGGAGAAATTAGTTGAGGTTGCAGGTGGAAAGGAAAAACTTCTGGGTCAACCGGTAACGAAATACTTCAAACTGAGGCGTCCGAAGGGAATTATATTTACTTGGAAAAACGTAAGTATACCTACTATAGCGTACCTACATGTTCGTTGCTTATTTTGTTTAAAAGTTCACTAACTTCATTACACCGGACACAAATTTCCTTTACGTAGTTTCTGTGTTCTTAGGACAGAGTCTGATAATAGCATTAAAAGAATAAATAATTTTAAATAGGTTGGTTTATAAAATTCTCGTCTTATAAAAATCTGTGTGATTTTATGAAATCTACGCATAAAAAAATTGCATTTTGAATCTACATATTTTCAAATCAAATTTAATTTTTTATTCAACACTTGTATATAATGATACTATAATTTCTTTGGTTTTAAAGGAATAATGTGGCCTATAAGTCACTAGTTAGTTGTAAGTCATAAGTCACTAGTAAGTTATGACTAGTGCCACTAGTAGCTTATAGAAATCATAAAAAGACAAATGTTTGGTTTGTTTTTCTAGTGTTTATTATAAAACCAATTTGAAACAATAATAAGTCAACAAATAACCTAAAATGCTACAAACCTCACAATCCAGATCCACTTCTTATTTGTGGAAGGGCGAAATGGGCGGTAACTATTAGACGCCTTCATTATAGCCATCTTTCTCTATCGCACGGATTTCTATGACTTACTTTACCGCTCTCACGTAACGGCCGATGAACTATGGGGACTTTCCGACCCTGTATACCGTAACACATTAGTTCCAGAAATAACTATAAGACATGTATTTTATATTTCTATTTATTTGAGTTTCCAAGGGATATTCATTTTTGCGATATTTTCGGCCGGTGTAAACTTTCGGCCCATAACATATTGATGATATTATTTTTTAAAGAATCTCATGATTGCTCAGATATGAAACAGATTTATATTTTCTTAAATATATAAATAGTATTTTAAAGACATCACATTTCCGCTAATTACTAAGATTTTTTTAAGAAAACAATGAATATTTTGCCTAGTTTTAACTAACAATTTATCTACTAAATACATACGTCAAAATAAAAGAAAATATTTAAATAAAAGTATACAGGGTGTCCCACCGGGAAGTGCGTCGATCGATATCTAGGAAAGTACTGCTCCGAAAAATTAAAAAATTTGGCAACATAGCAATGTCCCTGAGGCGAATACAACTAAAATATCTAGAACTTTCCAGCACTTCCGGTTATACCGGAAGTCAACACCTGCTTCGTTATTTTAAATGGGACACCCTATATATTATTACATTTTCGTATTCTACGTGAAATTTGAGGGTCACTTTATTCAATATTTCCTATACCTAGAAGTTATAGATTTTGAGATATTAATTTTTAAAGAAAAAATTTGACAATTATTACAAGGGTTCGCGGAGATGCTAGTAACTCTTGTCAGGAACGTGATATCAAACGGATTTTTAGTACCTATAAAGGACATAGGTAATATTACATTATAGTGCACCAAAAAATTAAAACATCTAAAACTAGGTGTTCATTTTTGATATTACATTTTGATAGCTTCAAACAGCTATAACTTTGATAACTTAAGTGGAATACCCTGCACTTTTTTACTCTGTCGTATGCAGAAATATGTATGGAAAATGCGATAAAGTAATTTCAAGAACAAGTAGAGAATCTGCTGCTTCCATAAATAACAAACAAATTAAAATAATCCTCGTAAGTATAATTTAAACGATCCCCAGGCATTTTTATTTAAATTTTCAGCAAAAACTATTACCGACATAACAATAATTTGATAACTAACTTGACAAATGTCAAATTATTTTAATTGTTTTGGAATGCTTTTGGTATAAGCCAATTTGACAACAGGTCTGATACGAGAAAAATTGTCGAAAAAATAGAAAATAGTAAATATCTCTAAAAGTAGTAACGGCAAAACTAACAATGTTTATATGGCTTGAAAGGAAATTTCAATCTGCATACGACAGAGTAAAAAAATGCAGGGTGTTCCACTTAAGTTAACAAAGTTATAGCTGTTTGAAGTTATCAAAAGGTAACAGCAAAAATTAAGCACCTAGTAAAAAATGTTTTAACTTGTTGGTATACCATAACTTATTGTTACCTATGCCCTTGACATGTACCAAATATCCATTTAATATCACGCTCCTGAAAAGAGTTATTAGGATCCCCGCGGACCCTTGCATCTGTCAAATTTATTTTTTAAAAATTAATATCTCAAATTCTATAACTCCTAGGTATAGGAAATATTTAATAAGGTAACCCACAAATTCCACGTAAAATCCGAAAATGCAATAATATATAGTATGTCCCATTTAAAATAACGAAGATGGTGTCGACTTACGGTATTAGTGGAAGTGCTGGAGAGATATTTTAGTTGTGTTCGCCCCAGGGACATTGCCACGTTGCCAACTTTTCAAATTTTTCAGAGCAGCACTTTCCTAGATACCCATCGACGCAGTTACTGGTGGACACCCTGTATAACTAATAAAAATGCAATAAGATAAAATAATATAATACATGACCGGACATGAAGATCATGAAAATCATTAAAATTATTATTCAAAAATTGATCGGAAGTCCTTACAAAAGACTCGTTTATTAATTTTTCTTTTTGATTTTTGTTTTAAATTCTCTGGTGTTTAAATTTCTTACACGTGGTAATAAAAAATCCATCTTAGAACAATATGCTCCTTTTCTTGTTTTTAGGCTATTGACTATGTACTTTAGACAGGAACTACAACGTAACAGAAATTTTATTGTTTGGTATGTTCAATTGACCTTAAAAAGTGATAAAACCGCGGAGTGCTACCTTTTAAAGGGGTGCGTTTTTGAGAACGAAGTAAAAAGGTGGTATTTTCAGTTTTTTGAGTTTTACTCGAAAACTATGAATTTTTCTATATAGTTGTCAACAAAAAAGTTGCAAATTGAATTTCCAATCGAAATGAAACCTTTTGATGTCAAAAAAAATTATTTTTAACAAAAATATGCCCAAAAAACGAGTAAAAAAAATCCAATAAGTAGCCAACTTTGATCCAATGTATCTCGGTTTCTATTAGTAGTAGGTATTTCTATAAAGGCTTATTTTAAAGAAAAAGACATTAACTTTTTTTTCTGTGAATCAATGCCTATACCTAACTCCTCTCAGAAAAAAGTTGTGGGCCAAAAACCAAAAAGAAAAAAAACGCATTTTTTCGGTTTTTTTACTCGTTTTTTGGGCAAATTTTTGTTAAAAATAAATTTGTTTGACTTCAAAAGGTCTCATTACGATTGGAAACTCAATTTGCTACAATTTTTCTGGCGACAACTATATAGAAAAAATTCATAGTTTTCGAGTAAAACTCAAAAAACTGAAAATACCACCTTTTTACTTCGTTCTCAAAAACCCTTTAAAAGGTAGCACTCCGCGGTTTTATCACTTTTTAGGGACAATTGAACATATCAAACANCGCGGTGTGAATTTGCAGGCCATCGACTTGGCGCTACGCGGTGACGGACGGCGTTTGAAATGCCAATAAGAATGACGGTGCGGTACATCATATTTATTCATCAAATAAAATAAAAAGAACACAAATGTGGGGTGTTGCCTATACCTAACTCCTCTCAGAAAAAAGTTGTGGGCCAAAAACCAAAAAGAAAAAACAGCATTTTTTCGGTTTTTTTACTCGTTTTTTTGGGCAAATTTTTGTTAAAAATAAATTTTTTTGACTTCAAAAGGTCTCATTTCGATTGGAAACTCAATTTGCTACAATTTTTCTGGTGACAACTATATAGAAAAAATTCATAGTTTTCGAGTAAAACTCAAAAAACTGAAAATACCACCTTTTTACTTCGTTCTCAAAAACCCTTTAAAAGGTAGCACTCCGCGGTTTTATCACTTTTTAGGGACAATTGAACATATCAAACAATAAAATTTCTGATACGTTGTAGTTCCTGTGTGCCTTCTTTTTTTTTGACATAGTTAATCAATAGCCTATTTCTAAAGATTATAGTATGAATGTCATTCAAGTGTTATAAAAAGGAATTGATATCTACTATAAAAATTGTGCAAATTATGTTTAACATAAAAAGGCACTGGAATATGTAAGTAAGTGGAAGAGTCAGAATATTTAAATCAATAAAGTCTTTTCTGCAATAGTCTTTGTATCCTAGTCCGGACAATACGTACAGCATTTCACTGGAGACCAAATACATGTGCTCTGGAGGATTCAGATCTCCACACCATAATGGCGTAAGATAGAATGAATCAGACCGTGATACGCAGATTTTAATGTAGCTAAGGAAATTTTGTTTACCCAACTTCGAAGATAAGGAAGTTTAGATTTTATTTTACAAATTTATTCACTATTGTGAATCCGTTATAGTATAAGAACTAAATAAACGCCAATAATTTGACATTTCCAGGGTTGCTTAATATGTCACTCAAGTTGAAGATCGTCGTTTTAGTCTTGACTATGTTAGCAGTTGTTTTATTAATTTAAAACCAGTTTTTTGCTAATGATTGTAATAGAGGTCATAAAGTAATACAGAATTTGATGTAGGAATCCTAGTGATATCTGTAAAAAAGTATTACTTCAAAAATGTTTGGTAAATTACTTGCATAAATTAAAAAAATAATAATAGGACCAAATAGCGAATCCGAAACTCCATATCTTACTTCCAAAGCAGAAAACTGTTCCTTCAGAAAAAATATTAGGATGTGTGATGGTTATTTATTTTATAAAAATTATATATTATTAAAACCAACTGTTTGTTAAATTAGATATGACAATATTTAGATAGATAGATACATAGATCAATAGATATTTATTAGTCTACTAGATTACAATATCGGACATAGGACACGTCAAAACATACATACTAGTAAAGACTAATAGAAACATAATACAATTGAAACATATACAAAAATATTAAAATATCATACAAAAACGAATATTACAATAATTATTAACAATAAAAGAAACAACCAACAAACTATTTAAAATTGTAATCCAAATAGCTGCTCACAGAATAGAAAGCATTTTGATGCAATATATTCTTTATTAAAAATATGAATCTAGTAAAGTTT